CCCCCCCCGTCTTCCTCTCACCCCCCCGTCTTCCTCTAACCCCCCCCCCCGTCTTCCTCTCACCCCCCCATCTTCCCTCTCACCCCCCCCCCGTCTTCCTCTCACCCCCCGTCTTCCTCTCACCCCCCCCATCTTCCTCTCACCCCCCCTGTCTTCCTCTCACCCCCCCCTGTCTTCCTCTCACCCCCCCTGTCTTCCTCTCCCCCCCCCCCCCCCCCTGTCTTCCTCTCACCCCCCCCTGTCTTCCTCTCACCCCCCTGTCTTCCTCTCACCCCCCCCCCCTGTCTTCCTCTCACCCCCCCCTGTCTTCCTCTCACCCCCCCCCCCTGTCTTCCTCTCACCCCCCCCTGTCTTCCTCTCACCCCCCCCCTGTCTTCCTCTCACCCCCCCCTGTCTTCCTCTCACCCCCCCCTGTCTTCCTCTCACCCCCCCTGTCTTCCTCTCACCCCCCCCCCCTGTCTTCATCTCACCCCCCCCCCTGTCTTCCTCTCACCCCCCCCGTCTTCCTCTCACCCCCCCGTCTTCCTCTAACCCCCCCCCCGTCTTCCTCTCACCCCCCCCATCTTCCTCTCACCCCCCCCGTCTTCCTCTCACCCCCCGTCTTCCTCTCACCCCCCCCATCTTCCTCTCACCCCCCCGTCTTCCTCTCACCCCCCCGTCTTCCTCTCACCCCCCCCCCCCTGTCTTCCTCTCTCACCCCCCCCTGTCTTCCTCTCACCCCCCCCTGTCTTCCTCTCAACCCCCCCCTGTCTTCCCCCTGGTAGATGAATTTTGTTCATCTACCCAGTCAATTCCCCTGAGAATTTTGTATGTGGTGATCATGTCTCCCTGAGCTCTTGTCTTCTAGCATCGTCAAGTGCAATTCACGCAGCCTTTCCTTGTAACTCGTGCCTCTTTTGTGTGTGTGTGTAATTACCTAAGTGTAGTTACAGGATGAGAGCTACGCTCGTGGTGCACCGTATGTTAGGTTGTCCTGACCTCACGTAACCTTCTGTGGGTAGAGCTGTGTCTTGTGTCTGGTATTTCATTAAGTACACAGCGGTAGGTAGGCACAGGGGTAGGTCGGCACAGTGCACAGTGGGTGGGTAGGCACAGCACACAGGGGGATGGGTAGGCATAGTGTGCAGAGGGCAGGTAGGCACAGTGCAAAGGGGTGGGTAGATATGTTAAGGGAAGAACTGGACAGTCGGATGGCCTCACAGTGCTGTACATGGGGCCTTGTATTAACAACGGTTAAATAAATTTTCTTCATAGAGATATTATTGGTACTGTTAAATGATACCTCAATGCTAAAACAATGAGGGATTACTAAACCTTATCTATATAAAGCTGATAAAGGGGTCAGCCTCGTATTATGATGCTTGATAAGGCAAGGGGTGTCGAGTCCCAATATGTTTGTGCCTTACGCTAAGACTGGGTTCCTCCCTGGGCAGTCCAGGTGCTCTCGAGTATCCACCCAAGTAGCGGCCCTTCTCCCACACACTGCCATAAATACTTGCCCCCTTCACTGCTCTTCACCATCCTACCACCTCCATCCACTGCTGCTCCCGCTGCTCTATGAACAAGGTTGCTTAGTTTAATTAAGCATATTTCATGTGTGTGCTATTCTAATAGACTATCCATGAACCTGGGGGGAAATGTATTGGCCTAGTTACGCTTGCGCAGGGTTGAGCTTCGGCTCTTCGGTCCTGCCTATGAGCTCTCAATGGCTTTTATATACCTATGCCATGTTACAGCTTGTGAACTTCATGTTGTCTACTTCTTGTTGGTCTCGGGAATTGGTGTCCTGGTCTCTGACTAGAACTATTAGTTGATGGTCTGGTCAACCAAGCCGATCGATTATCTATCCTTCGAAAGTGTTTATCAAGTTTTCTTTCGAACACATAACAAGGTGGCAAGTTATGTTGTCCCTTAGGTTTGCAGGGAAAACTATTAAAATCTTGGGCTCTTGATGTTGATAGAATTGTCTCCCAGCACACCCATTGCACTTGCCTTCTGATGTCTTAAGTAGTCATTTCCACTTGCAATGTCTACTTTCTTCTTCACCACATAGTGTAAACTAGTGCAAAAGGTTTGAAGACTGCATAGAATGTCTTAATCGTACCCCCAGAGGATGTTTAACACAGTAGATTGTTGCAGTATCCATATACACTTTGTATCCACTTCTAATTACATTTGTGGTTGCAACTATTGTTTGTAGTGTAATTGTTACGTATAATAATGTACCTGAACATATTGCAGTTTAGTCACTTACATTAGGTAAAACTTTGCATATTAAACTATTGGATATTGCTGAACTATATTGCAGTTTACACAGAGGTGACTTATTTACATGTATCATATAATTTATTTGCATATTGGACTTTTATCTGTTAAAGGCAAAATGAGGATAGTGCAAGAATCAGGTATTCCCTCTCCCTTCTGTTATCACATCCTTCTTCAGTCTCTTCCTTACTGCCTAGTGCCATCTGAGTCTACCCTCCCAGGCGTGCCTACTAAATCATACCTTAAATATCTAAAGGTAGTTCTTATATTGACCAACCGAGCATGGGCAACTCATGCTATCCTTTTGATGTGGACGTCGGGAGAAAAGTTTGGTATGATATCAACCCCCAGATCTTTTTCTCTACTCAATTTTTTAAGTGTGGCTTCCTGCTATGTCTTAATTTCAATACTTTGGATTTACCCGAGGTAAACTCTAATAGCCATTTGGTGGACCATTCTTTCAGTTTGTCCCAGTCATCTTGTAGCCTCTTGCTATCTTCTGTCTTAATCCTCAACATAATTTTTTGCATCGTCGGTAAACATTGAGAGGAATGAGTCTAATTCCTCAGGCAGATCCGAGGGATTAGAAAAATTGGACTTCATTATATACTAAAAAACAAACAAAAAAAAAAACCCTGATTTAATAATAGTCAAAAACACCCCAAATAAACAATACGACCCTCTCCAAAAAAGCAAAAGTGGCGTACAAATTTACATCCTCCAATGACTGATAAAGCTGGTGCCTCAAGGATACAAAAATCCTGGAATCTTCCACTCGACTAAACGATTGCAAATCCTGGAATATATACTTGAAAGATGAAAAAAAAAAACTTAAACATACAGAACAATGGCTTTAGTTGACCAATCCACACGCTAGAAAATGAAGGGACGACGACGTTTCAGTCCGTCCTGGACCATTCACATTCGACTTGAGAATGGTCTAGGACGGACCGAAACGTCGTCGTCCCTTTATTTTCTAGTGTGTGGATTGATCAACCTACTTCAGCCACGTTATTGTGACAAATCGCCTGCAATGGCTTTAGTTCCTTGCCAACAGACGCACCAAATATCACCGGATAATGATGTCTCTACCGAGGTCTTCACGCCCCTCAGAGTTTTACCCAATGCCTTATCCAAAGTTTGATTGACCCTAAACCAACCCCAATCTTTTTTCTATGTTAAATGACCCCTAATCCCTTACCCTGTGTTTGATTGGCCATTCACTTCGCCCCACAATCCTTCGACTCTACATTGTGCATTTCAGCAAAAAATGTGCATCAGGTATTCATTCCTTTCCCTGAAAATAATTAAAAAAAAAATCCTGTTAAAGAATACATTTATAAAAATGGGTATTTTTCTATACCTATTTTTTAAAATCTGACCTATGGTGTGCCAAATTTAGATGACTAGTCGCTACAAGAAGGTTTATTAGGTTATTAAAATGGACGAAAAAGTGGCAGATGCCGTTTAATACTATCATTTATTTGCCCCCCTAAGCCTAAATGATGATACTTAACATATAACAGGTAGACAATGTTGAAATTGTTAAATCTAAGTGAAAACAGATTTGGGAGTCATGGGTTTAAAATAAGGATATCGAGCATAAAAAAAAAATCAAGGTATAAATGTATGGGAACGAGACGCATAGGATTATGGTGTTCATATCTAGCCTATGTAGTAACCAAGCTTTCTTGTTTGACAGTTTGTGATAAGTTTGTTTTAATTTAACAATATTGAAAACGTTACTGAGTGAACAAATCCACAAGGGCCGTGACGAGGATTCGAACCGACGTCCTAGAGTACAGTATCCCAGACGCTGCCTTAATCAACTGAGCTTATTTGTGGATTTGTTCATTTAATACACCACCCTATTGTGATTTCTGTGTGTAACGTTACTGAATGTTTTTTCACTCATTGTTATACGAGCCAAAAAGTAATCGAATTTGGCAATAATTTGACGCAATCCATTTTTTTAAAATTGGGCTTCCAGTGTTAAATTTGGTGTTGTATTGACTCCCAGTTCTTTGTCCTCTGGGATAAGGTTACTTCTTTCATGTCAAACTGGTCCTGTGATCTTGCTCATAATTAAATATCTTTGCACTTCTAAAGAGTTACATTCCCGTAGCCATCTGTAAGTTCACATCTGAATTTGAATGGTCTCGTCTGCATTTTCTTAATCGTATATCTTAACTCTAACTTTATATGCTGTGCCAACTTTGACCTGGAATGTGTTTAGAAACAGCTTTAATCATTTCTAACACTAACCCTTGTGGGTACTAGCTATTGACCACTATCTCTATGACCTTCTGCTTCCCGTCAGAGAGATCTTCTCCGAGGCATGCAAGTGTTTTCCCAGGGTTTTCGTTCGAGGGTGTGTTTTTGGTGTTTGCGTTGTGATGCATACTGGGCGTGTGCGCATACATGGTTGCACGTGCTTGCATACATACGCCCATAGATATATGCCCGACTGGACGTGTTGCAATATTTGCACATATAGATGAATGTGGGCGTGTTTGGTGCGACGGTCTGGTTCACTGTCTGGCTCACTGTTTTCTCGTGTAATCTCCGAGTGAGGATGGGCGTGCGGGCGGGCGTGTGCGTGTGGTGGCTGTGGCAGGTGTGTATGGGATCGATGCGTGCGTGGTGTTGCGTGCGTGTGCGCGTGGTGCGGGCGTGGCGGGGCAGTGCGGCTGCGCCGGGGTAGCTGCGCGACAGGCCACGCGCTGCACTCAGTCGCTTTCTAGACTTGGTGCTGAGCAGGTGGTCTGCGCTGCACTACCTGCCAGGTCAAGTCGGGCCCGGAGCGCGCAGTGCTAGTGTTGGTGCCGCAGTGCAAAGTGTCGGTGCTCGCGCACATACAACGCCTTCTTGCCTTCTGCCGCAGCTGCCACACTTGTCACGCAGCAGCAGAAGCAGCCGCAGGAGCGCAGCCGCCGCCCTGCTCCACCGCCATCTTGAGCCTCTACACACCCCTCCACCACCTCCCTTGCTGCTGCTGCTACTGCTGCTGCTGCTGCTGCTGCAATCGTCGCCAGTGTGGGCACCGTGCCTTGCAGCTCCGCCTCTTGTGGACGCCCAAAGTCGCTGCTCTGGTTGTGTAGTTGGTGGCCCAATATGGCCCTGCAGTAGGTGGGTGGTTGGCCAGTGTGTATCCGTGGTCTCGCGCCCCCAGCACGGCTCACGCCCCCGTGTGTGTGCGCCGCCCGCGGCCGCCCGCGCCCCGGGAGCCTGGGGGACCAGCATGAGAGCGCCTCCCCTGCTGCCCCTGTGACCTCACTCATCAGTTACCACTGCCGCCACTCCCTTGGGTAAGCTTCTGCAGCAGCAGCAGCCGCTGCCGTCGTCGCCGCCCTGATGTTGTCTGCTACACCCACACCCTCCCGATCCCTGTCTGGCTCGGCTACCTGCTTCCCCAAACCTCCGCACCTTCTATTTCATGACCGCCTTCATCCTGTTTCAGTACACACACCAGCTGCTGGATACTTTTATGGGTCGGCTGCTCCTTTGCATGCATGATGCTCTTCTGGTTGGGTGTGTGGCAATTGACTGGTTGGGTGTGGGGGTTTGGGCTACCTGTCGTGGGGGTTGGCTGAAGCAGGATATCAACAGCGCTGGTTATTGACTCGCAGCAGATCTAGCAGTGAACCCTTTCAGGGCTGGTCAACTATTACTTGGTTCTTAGTCCATGGCTGGATGGACGGCCTGGCCTGAACAGTCATACGTCTGCCCACCTACACTAACACTGGTTGGTCCTGGGATGGGTTTGGGTTGGCCCTGAGGTGGGTGGATGAATGGGTGGGTTTGGGTTGGCCCTGAGGTGGGTGGATGGATGGGTTTGGGTTGGCCCTGAGGTGGGTGGATGGATGGGTTTGGGTTGGCCCTGGGGTGGATGGGTTTGGGTTGGCCCTGAGGTGGGTGGGTGGATGGGTTTGGGTTGGCCCTGAGGTGGATGGATGGGTTTGGGTTGGCCCTGGGGTGGGTGGGTGGATGGGTTTGGGTTGGCCCTGAGGTGGGTGGATGGATGGGTTTGGGTTGGCCCTGAGGTGGGTGGATGGATGGATTTGGGCTGGTCCTGGGGTGGGTGGGTCGATGCGTTTGGGCTGGTCCTGGGTGGGTGGGTCGGTGCGTTTGGGCTGGTCCTGGGTGGGTGGGTCGGTGCGTTTGGGCTGGTCCTGGGTGGGTGGGTCGGTGCGTTTGAGCTGGTCCTGGGTGGGTGGGTGGGTCGGTGCGTTTGGGCTGGTCCTGGGTGGGGTGGGTGGGTCGGTGCGTTTGGGCTGGTCCCGGGTGGGTGGGTGGGTTTGGGCTGGACCTGGGTGGGTGGGTTTGGGCTGGTCCTGGGTGGGTGGGTGGGTGGGTGTGTTTGGGCTGGTCCTGGGTGGGTGGGTGGGTTGGTTTGGGCTGGTCCTATTGGTTTGGGCTGGTCCTTTTGGTTTGGGCTGGTCCTGGGTGGGTGGGTGGGTGGGTTTGGGCTGGTCCTGGGTGGGTGGGTTTGGGCTGGTCCTGGGTGGGTGGGTTTGGGCTGGTCCTGGGTGGGTGGGTGGGTGGGTTTGGGCTGGTCCTGGGTGGGTGGGTGGGTTGGTTTGGGCTGGTCCTGGGTGGGTGGGTTTGGGCTGGTCCTGGGTGGGTGGGTGTGTGTTTGGGCTGGTCCTGGGTGGGTGGGTTGGCCTTTAAGAAGGTTGAGTGGCCCCGTGGCTTGTGCACTCGCCTAGCTGTGCCTACGTGTGGAGTGTTACCTGTCTTGACTGTCCGTGGATGTGTTTACCTAGATGAGCTTGCAGGATCGAGCTTACGCCCGTAAGCACCCGCATTTAATAATTAAACACAGTGAATCTCTTCACTTTTTTATCATACTATGTATAGTCTTAATTGAAAACTATATCGAATTAGCCTCGACACTTAAATTGAATATTTCGTATAACATCTGTGACTTGATTGCTCCACCCCTCGCTCGAGTAGTAGTAGAGGGGCCCCCTTGCTCTACTGTTCCTCATTTTGACTATTGCTACTCAATTAGGTCACGTCCCCCTAGGATCTTGTAAGTCATTATCATGTCTGCACCATCCTCCACCACCCACTTCCACCCCTGTATGGCAAGGTCCAGTTTCATCGGCCTCTTTTCATGGTTATGTTGCTGTGAATCTTTGCATTTTTTTATGTAGAGGTTCCATGTTGGTGGCGTCATATTCAAGGATTATCAAATTGTGCTTGGAAGGCACAATCAGAGATCACTGTATAAACATCAGAGGCCCGCGGTTGTTCAACATCCTCCCAGCGAGTATAAGAAATATTGTGGGAACCGTGGACATCAAGAGGAAACTAGATTGTCTAAAAGTGCTGGACCAACAGACCTGTGGTGGATATGTTGGGAGCCGGTCGGCCGGGCGGACAGCACACTGAACTTGTGATCATGTGGTTCCGGGTTCGATCCCAGGCGCCGGCGAGAAACAATGGGCAGAGTTTCTTTCACCCTATGCCTCTGTTACCTAGCAGTAAAATAGGTACCTAGGTGTTAGTCAGCTGTCACGGGCTGCTTCCTGGGGGTGGAACGACCGGGCCGCGGGGACACTAAAAAGCCTCGAAATCATCTCAAGATAACCTCCAAGCAACAGCCTGGTGGACCAAGCTGTCACAAGTCAAGCCTGGCCTCAGTTCGGGCTTGGAATAAAACTCCCAGAACGCTATCAAGCAGGAAAGGTTCTTTTTCCAAGTTACTGAAGGATATCCGGACGTTTGTTTACATGGCATATGCTGCCGACGCTTTTATGCTGATACACGTCTCTGGCGTTGGATCCAAAATGGTTAACTCCAAAGTCATTTTCGGACGTGGAAAGTTAATCTTCCCCATATTCTGTAGTGTATTATATTCACGTAACTTACAATTGTCTAGTTTAGTTATGCAGCCATTTCTCAACTGGGTTATGATTAGTACACAAGATTGCGTGCTGTGGCATTTAAGTCGTGAACCAGACGCCACATAATTGCCGGAACAACCGTGGACATCTTCGAGAAAACTAAATTCTAAAAGCAGTGTCGGACCAACCCGGGCTGTGGTGGGTATGTGGGCCTGCGGGCCGCTCCAAGCAACAGCCTGTTGGACCAAACTCTCACAAGTCGACCCTGGCCTCGGGCCTGGGGGAGTAGAGGGGTGCAATTTACAATATATTGTAGATCACCTCCAGTTTTACGCTTTCTCGTTAGTTACTAAGAACAGTCGGCTAACATTGGTATGTGTTGCTCGCTACGCTAGGTCGCTTACTTGTATTAAGAACAGATTGGGACCTAGTACCGACTCCTGAGGTACTCCACTTTTGTCCTATCTCCTGCTTGGATTCGGTCTGAATATGGTGCGAAATTCGGCCCCACAAGGTACTGTCCTCACAAAGTTACTTCCCGCCAAACACGACGAAACTACAACATTGTTGCAACGTTCGATCAAGGTTTAATTTAATACCCAACAGTTGTAACAACGTTTTAATACCTCATAAAACATTATAACAAGCTGTAACAACTTTATTACAAGTTGTAACAAGGGATTCATAGGGCCCGTTACGTTGTGTTTGCAGGGTTTTTCTCCTCATAAGAAGACATTGACAATAATACAAGCTAAAGTTTCGGGTCATCCATTGCTGTTACCAAAATAAGTTGGTAAATTGCATGAGGAGAGAGAGAATTATCAGGAGAAAGCACCAAGCTATTACGACTATATAGCACTTGGAAAGGTCAGGATAAGGATTTGGGATGGGACGATGAGGAAAGGAATGGTACCCAACCACTTGTGGACGGTTAGGGATTGAACGCCGACCTGCATGAAGCGAAACCGTCGCTCTACCATCCAGCCCAAGTGGTTGGATAATTGCATCAGGAGATAATGGGGAAAAAAATTGAAAAAGGGCTTGAAATAGCGACCGAACAAATATGTTCATCAGTAACAGATTACAATTACTTTGGTACAGGAAAAACAAACTTTAATAGAAGTAAATGATATGTCATTCTTAGAAAGAAGCGAGTGGCCAACTCGAAAACCTTGTGTTTAGAAAACACAATAAAACTCATTGTGATAACCAGGAAAATACTTCAAAGCATTGGTGCTATCTCTTGTGGCTGACGAGATTGCACAACTGGAAAATGTAGAGGTCATTCACTGTACTCGCCTAGTTGTGCTTGCAGGGGTTGAGGTTTGGTTCTTTGGTCCCGCCTCTCAGCTGTTAATCAACTGATTCGGGGGACAGGTCTAGTGTGATATCAACCCCACATATCTTTCTCTTGTCCTGACTCCTGAAGGATTTCCTATTCCAGCTGGTAGCTTGGGTTTGGCCTCCTGCTCCCTATGCCCATCATCACTTTGCACTTGCTCGAGTTAAACGCTAGTAGCCATTTGTTGGACCATTCCTTTGGTCTGTCCAGATCATCCTGTAGCCTCTTGCAGCCCTCTTCTGTCTTAAATCCTTGTCGTAATTTTAACATCAGCAAACATTGAGAGCAATGAGTATACCTTCTGGAAGATCATTCATGTATATCAGAAACAAGATAGGTCCAAGTACAGAACCCTGTGGGACTCAGCTGGTGACATCACGCACGTCTGAGGTCTCGCCCATCACAGTAATTCTGTTTCCTGTTGCTTAGGTACTCCCTTATCCATTGGAACACCCTACACCATCAGCTTGTTTCTCCATCTTATACAACTGTCTCTTATGGGGTACCGTGAAAACACTTTGACAGTCCAAGAGAAGGCAGTCTGGCCATCCTTCTCTCTTGCTTAATGCTTGTTGCTTGGTCATAGAATTCTATTTAACCTGACTTGCTATTTAATTTAACTATTCTATTCTATTTAACCCATGACTTGCCGTCCCTTAACCCATGCTGGTGGTGTTAGTCCCTTTCCAGAAATGCTACCGAGCTTTTTCTCACGATCTTCTTCACCTTGCATGTTATACAAGTTAGGACACCGGCCTGTAGTTTAGGGTGTCCTGCCTCTCCCCAGTTTTGTATATTAGGACTACGTTAGCTCTATGCACTGAATCAGTGATGCATTTAAACTACTAGAATACCTGAAGTGCCCGCTGTATTCCATGGAACTTGGTGAGAGATCGCGTAATATAGATATGGAAGATCAGGTTCTAAAACGGCACAATACAGTTACAGCATACTGAATTACGACGTACTGGAGTGAGATGGAAGTGTAAAATAAATCCATTGAAAAGTTGGGATGCAATAAACTCAATTAGCGAGAACCACGTGATGGCTTGTCTTTTCAACCTGTTCTTGTTATATCACGTCACATTTAGACGTATACTTTATCTAATGGCCAAAAACTGATTTACAAGAAATTTGCATAATGTCCTGTTATGTATGTCCTTATATTGGGTAGGTTAGGGCACAACAGTTTCTTGGCGTCGCAAACGCTGGCGAGAACGGGCTCTGTCTTTTAGCTACAAATACGGCCACATAGACCGGACAATTGGCTTACGGGCTCACCATAGCCCGTGCTACTTAGAATTTAAAATTCCAGGTAGCGAATCTTTAACAACCACCACCACCGGACAGTTGCCAGGGAAGGACACTGGCCAGACTGTAGGAGTAAACATGCAAACTCGACAAATAAGTAAGCACAGACCAATGTTTAAGCTTGAAATGACTGACAAAAGTCTTGAGATATTAAGCAAGAAATGTAAGCTTTTTTCTTACCATCATCGATTAACTTCGTGGTTGACGGGATGGTTTCGGGTAAGGTAATACCGGAACCTCTTTACTATGTGGGATCAGTCATTGGATGACTCGTTATCAGCCGTGTTGTTGCATTGGACATTGCAGATGCCTTTGATAAGAATATGGCACCTATTTGTTGCAAAGACAACCTAAACGAACATAACCTAACCTTCCTAGGCCTAATTCAAGCTATCTACGGCCTAATATCGCCCATATGTGTTATATTAGGCCTAGGACTATTGAAGTTTGCTTTTAGTCTTAGTTTTTTGACTTATAAAGTGAAGAGTATCAAATTCTACTATCTAGTTGTCTTTACTATTTGTACGTATTTGTACTATGATGCACATAGTTACAAACAGTACTATCTAAATAGAATAGATCGTATGAATAATTTTTATGGCATTCAGAACACACATGTCTGAGTAACTTGTGTATAGACTACATTACACACAAATCACAATAGCGTGATGTATCAAATGAACAAATTCACAAAAGCTGTGATGAGGGTTCGTTCCTACATCCGAGAGGATCCCAGACGCTGCCTTAATCGACTAAGCTACGAAATGGTATAAGAATTGCAACTGGGAAATCAGCTTGACCTACCACGAATCCTGTAGTCAAGTTGATTTCCCGGTTGCAATTCTTATACTATGTCGTAGCTCGGTCGATTAAGGCGTGTCTGGGATCCTCTCGGACGTAGGTTCGAACCCTCGTCACGGCCCTTGTGGATTTGTTCATTGTTTGTAGACTATTAACGGTTATGGTAGATGAACTAAAATATATATTAATATATTTTTTCTTTTCTTTTCAGATTTTTTAGTTTTGTAATTTTTAGAAATGAATGATTTGGATAGTTTACGACAAGAAGCAGAAAGACTAAAGAACACAATACGAGTAAGTACCACTTCGATGTTTTGTTGTTTGTAAGGCACTTCCTGCCTTCTCTCACTGTCTTAGTCTCTTGCCCATTGCTTCCCTTACCTTCCCTAGTCTCCCTTTTCCTGGTAAACTGTCTCTTCTGATATCTTTTTCCCACACAATCCCAGAACACTGTATAAACATCAAAGGTCCATGGCTGTTTAGTATCCTTCCAGGAAGCTCAGGAAATATTACTGGAACAAAAGTGGACTTCAAGAAAAGAAGTGCCGGGATAACAGTTCTGGTGGATACGAGGGCCAGTGGAATGATCCAAGCAACAATTTGTTGGACCAGGCTCTCACGTCAAGCCTGGTCCCACCCAAGGTGGGCTTGGGGAAGTAGGCCTCTCAAAACCCTCAACAGGTAAAACCCTTCCTTCTGGTAGCTTTACCACACCCATTCCATCTGGTAGCTTCTCCTCAACCCCTTCCTTCTCGTAGCTTTACCACACTCATTCCATCTGGTAGCTTCTCCTCAACCCCTTCCTTCTCATAGCTTTCCATCCCTTCTGTTTTCCACATATCTCATTTATCTTCCATTTTTCTGCTTCTCTCCCTTTCTCTCGCCTTCACGTGCTCTCATTTCTGATCTTGGGCTTTCCATCCCACTGTGTTAACCATCTTACCATGAGTCCTGTGTTTGGTAGACCTGACAGCAATACGGTTTGTATTGATGGTGTTGTCTTATTTTATTTCTTTGTGAATTATAAACTTTGTAATCACTATAGCGTTGGCGAAATGATGTGTTGTATCTTAAAGTTGCTCCGTCATATACTGTAAGGATCAGCTCTGCTCTCTTATACGTCTACTACTGTCTGTCTACTGACATAATCAGTTCACGGAGTGGGTTTAGGCACGGTATAATATGTAAAATAGCTCTACTGAAAGTTTGGGTTGGAAGGATATGTACACTAAGGGGCCTCGATGACCTTCACTAATTACATTAAATATACAGAAAATGGCCAGCAGGCTTGTATCTGGTTTCAAAATTGAACCCAAGAGGTACTGTACCTCTTATTAAGACTCCTCCCACGCCGGATTGAAGCTGCTCGCATGGAGAGTAACAGATCAGTGTCGTGTGTGTGTGTGTGTGTGTGTGTGTGTGTGTGTGTGTGTGTGTGTGTGTGTGTGTGTTAGTCGACAAACTGTGTATTAGTGCTAAGGGACAAGGAAGGAGGATGTACAAATCTTAGGCGTACTGGGCATTTCTTGCTCAAGGCGTTGAATGAACATCTTGGCAATTAACATACTGTGTACCTTACAGCGCACCTTCACGCCCTCCCAGTTCATTGGAAGCCTCAGACACCCTGGAGGGTTCAGTAGAACTCCTTAAAGTTGCAATCCTTTTACCCTGAGGTGTGATAAGGTTCAAATCCTCGTCACGACTCCTACGGATGTTCTTTGTCAACTCCAACATTGGTATTTCGGCACACAAGAGCTCCCGTCAGTACAGTTACAACCCCGCTCCTGTGCCAGGTAAGTCTACTACGGGCTCACCATAGCCCGTGCTACTTGGAACATTTTGTTCCGAGTAGCTGTGAATCTTAAACATGATCATCTCGTGAGTGTAGTGCGTGGAGCCAGTGGTAAACACAGCAGTCTGCGCCAGACGTTAGCCATCGGGATCTTCACAGGCACTGAGAACTCTCTCACTGGGTCGGGATGCCAATAAGCGCCAGAAATGGTATCTGAAAGCACGGAAATATTTGTATTACGTAACAATTCGATGTATAGGATAATAAATACGCTTACCATCAAGTATAATCCGCCCGCGTACGCACTGTACCGAAGGGGGGGGGGGAGATTATATTACCATATTACAACACTAGAATATTTATAACCAGTCGATTGTTGTATTTGGATATTGCCACATCGCCAACGCATTTCCACATACAATTTTGGGTAACATGACGCCTTAGGCTTATCGAGGCCCCACTGCCCCGTTGATTAGCTGCTAACCTTCTCCTTGATGGAACATAATTCTCAAACTTATAGGCATCTTATTTATCGGTAGATGAAGAGGTGTACCTATTGGTAGATGAAGAGACGTCAGATGAAAGGTAGTGTGCACAACTATTTCTATCCCACCTGGGGATAGAAATACTAAGATAATATTAAAACACGACTAAAACAGAAGCAAAAAGGAAACAGGGAAAAGGGAAGAAACCCCACCTCCATTTAAAACTTTGACCCAAATATCAGAGTAACAAGATTATCGCAAATAACCGAACTCAATTACGGGCTCACCATAGCCCATGCTACATGGACATTTCGTTCTGAGTAGCTAAATCTAAAACAATAAGGATAGAAATAGTTGTGCACGCAAGTCACAGGACCCATGTAGAAAAGTAAAGGTAACAGACACTAAAGTGGTCAAAAATGGTTTCAACAAACACAAATAACCCAGGCAGAGAAACTACAGTGATTAGGCAAAAATGAACTAGCATCACGGTGAAGAAATCCAAGAATAAGTCATGCAGGAAATAGGATAAAGCACACACTACCTTAAGAGTGTAAGGAGCTAAACCAAAATCTTTAAGTAATACGAGGGTGTTTGTATACAGATGACGATAAAGTACTGAATGTAATTCACCAATAATTCTAAATGAGCATAATACTGAAAACACTAAATCAGTGTTCATCAATGGAATGGCCACAATGAAAGCAGAAGGTCCTGAGGACTTGTTCATGAACTCTGCCCCTGCAGGATGCTGCAACAAACCCCGCAAGCTTTGAAAGCGAAATAAATAAGCCCGGAATAACCCAAAGAGTAATAACCAACAAAAGTAAAATTCGTATCATCTACACTGAAAAGCTCGGTCCCCCCAGAGTACGAGACGTGTCGGACCAACCAGGTTGTAGTGGTCATGTGGGCCTGCCGGCCGCTCCAAGCAACAGCCTGTTGGACCAAGTTATCACAAGTCAAGCGACTGGGCGAGTTCTGGGAGTAGAACAACTACCGAAACCCTCCAGGTATTGTTCCGGTGCCATTTCTCCTCATGATACCCGACATAGACAAGGATACAAGGTATAGTACTGTATCATCCTTTGTATCTGATGCAAGCCTTTAAATGAGTCACAGATAACTTGTTCCTTGAATACCTCGCTCCTCGTACTTCTAAACTGCCAGCTTCTGCATTATGGTAAAAACTAAGAAATCCAAATAGTAATGAACGTATCCACAAGGGCCGTGACGAGGATTCGAACCAACGTCAGAGAGCATCCCAGACGCTGCCTTAATCGACTGAGCTACGCCATGGTATATAAGAATTGCAAATCCACAATCCCTTGTGGATTTGTTCATTTGATGCATCACGCTATCGTGATTTCTGTGTCCAAGTAGTAATCGCACACAAAATGCAATTACACAGGAAAAAGAAAAGGCAGTTTTAAAGACCTATGAGTAATTGTTGAAGGTGCTTAATATAAACAAAAAACACATTAAACTAGCTGTCACAACTGCTAGAAAAACGACAGGCTGGAGGAGTTCAAAACAAGAGATGCCAAACCAATTATGATACTTTTAAAAACAAATGCTATTTTAGAGTGGAATATTGTTGCAACCTAACGGCGCCTTTCAAAACGGGAGAAGTTGTTGACCTGGTGATCGTGCAGAGCACCCATACTCAGTTTACTGCCCGAATTAATGATTTTTTTAAGTTGGATCTTAAAAATCTCTCAAACTCTACTCATCTGAGCGTAGAGTAGGCGCGAGAGACGTAATAATTTACACTTGGAAAATATTAGCGAGGCTGGTTCCACATCTGCATACGTAAATTACGAGACGAGAAAGCAAGGAAGAAAGTGCAAATGGCCACCTTTGGAAAGTAAAGTTGCAATGGGATGTCGAGACTTGTCTAAACAAGGGGCCAAGACTTTCCACATCTCCAAACTAAGGAGGGATATCGGGTTTCTGAAGGCAACTTGATAAACACCACTTAAGGATATCTGATCGACCGGATTGTAATTCACAAGTCAAACAGCTGGCCTGGTTGGCCAGATGACCATCCAAGAATTGTCAGACAGGGCCGCTGAATTATTCATCCTCGGAACCGCCTCAAGACAACACAGTAACTCTTAAACAATTCAACGATCACTAATTATATTAAGTTGTAATTTGTTTCACAAATCTACAACTGTTCCCAAAATAGTATTATCTTAACACTTCTAGATATTAATCTTACTTCGTACATTTATTTTTTTTTAATTAAGATCCGTAGTATGACTGATCAATTTCGTAGTCTTATTTACTAATTTGTTATTTAGCTTAGAAGTAACTTAAGCCAGATTGCTAACTTACTCTCGATGTCCTTAACTCTCTTGGTCATTTTGAAGAACAAAGTTGTTCTTCCCCAACTGCCAGACGTAAGGTAGTGTGTGTGTGTGGAGAGAGACTTGTGGCCCACAGGAAGCTGGTGATATCATAAGACGGTGGGCGCTCACTGAGGAATTGACGCTATGCTTGAGAGCCAAGCCACTTGGGGCTGGGCTCTGGGGTTTGGTTTAATATTTTGTGTGGTTATATACGGGTAGGAGCGACGTGGCTGCGCTCGGTGAATTGTATGCAACATTCTGCTTGCATACTTTATGTTGATGACTCGTGTTTATTTGTTGATGATTATGTGCCTTGGAACCAAGAACCGAACTAGAGTATACTTTTATATTAAACGCTGCACCAACCGGTTTATAGTGGATGTGGGAGCCTGTTGGCTGCTCTTAAGCAAGTGTCAGTTGGACCAAGCTATCACAAGCCAAGCCTAGCCCCAGCCTGGGCTTGGGGAGTAGAACTACTCCCATAACCCACTCCAGGGACGTACCTTCAGGCGTGTAACATGTTGAAGGTACACATAATATCGTGGGAAAACGCCTGCAAGTTGCATCTGTGTATATTACCCTTACCCTCTAACTATGAGGCATAACACATCCCTAAACTGTCTTCAAGAGGGAGGTGTATAAATATCTCCGACGTACCCAATC